GGACGGGAGGAGTCTCCCGGCGCCCGCACGCCCGGTACCCGGAGCGGCGGTGCCCCTCTACTCGGGCCCCTCAGCGCGTTCGCCCACAGCCCCGACTGGGGGCCCCCTTTGAGCCAGCCCAGGCCCTGAATAGGCCCCAGGGTGATGAAAACTCTCTCTGGACCTCATACCTGTGTCTGGGTGACCCGAAGGACCCCCGCTAGTTCCCTCCTTTCCGAGACGTGGGAACGCAGCCCCGCGGATACCCAACTGTGGACCCCCAAGCTCCCCAGAGACTCAGATGACTCACTGCTGACTTTACCAGGGACCAGGGTCTGGGGGACACCGATAAGCTGCACCTGCTCCCTCCTCAGACACGCCTACCCCGACCCACATAACCCCCTTTCCTGCTCCAAAGAGTTTACTCTTTGCCTCGTTTCCTTTTCCAAATTTGCATAACCCCCTTAGAGGCGTCCCTCAGATACCTGGATCTGGAGAACCCAAATAAGCCCTACCTTGTAATTCCCTCCCTAGTGACCATACTCCCAAACTTTAGACATTTCCCATCGGGCTACCTGTTTTGAGACCTCCTTGAAACTCAGAGGATTTACTTCTATTTTTAACTCCCAGAGCTCTCCTTCCACTCTAAGACTTTCCCCCTTTCTTGGTTGTCTCTTAGAGACCCACATAATTTGCTCATAATTCTTACCCATTCTCACCGTTCCTTCCATCTGTGAGGGAAACCCCTCTCTCCCCATTTCTTCCTGAATTGTCTCCTCTCTCCCTAATCACTCCCATCTCCATTCTTGTGGGGAATTAACATTTTTCCACTATTCAGTGGGGTGGTCTAGAAAGCCAGCTTTTGAGCCAGACTGGTTCCTGTAAATCCAGCTCCTTGCCGTGACCCAGCTTGATGGGAGAAAAAGGGTCCTATAAGGTGGAGGGGAGGATAAGGGAGCAATGGTGCAAGGAGAGTTTGTGCATTCGATTACAAGTGTGGCCTGTCTTCTGGTTTGTGTGTTTTCCCACCTGTCTGTCAGCCTGGGGCTGTGATAGAGTTGGGCCTTGGGTTTCTAACCCTCCCATCCCAAGGTGAGGCTGCCAGATTGCGGGGTGGGGTGGGTATCTAATCAGTTTTTTTCTGTGAAAATGAGGCTATACGGAGTCGCAGCCATTTGCTTAAGGCCTCCCCAGGAGTGGAAGGCAGCAGTAATCCAAGGAAATAGGAATCAAAGGGACTCCAAAAAGGACCCATCTACATTGACAGAAGAACTAGCAGTTCGAGAGTAAATCCAAGCCTTGTTAATCCTGTTTGATGTTTCCGGGAATGGGGCAAGTCATTGAGACTCTTCAACCAGTCCCTGTAATTTAATTCTCCCACCATTCTGGAGTGTCCTCTGCGTGTGTTGGGGCAGGGGTTGGGTATTCCCATTTCCCCCTTGTCCTTTCAGTTTCCTAGCCAACCAGTGTGCCTTTTGAAATTGTTTCTGGTGCCCAGGTCAGGACACCCCCCCCCATTCTATTTATAATTTCCCAGTTGCTATTTTGGGTTCTGCTTAAGGGAAGATTCTGTCCACCCCAAGGAAAGTTCCTGGGTGTGTTTCCTCCTCGGCAGGTGTTGAATTGAGTTCTTCAGATCCCCAAGTAGCTCTTGGGCAGGAGGGATAAAAGCTATTTTAGGGTAGTCACTGAAGTGGAGCTGTTAATCCTCTGTGGGTTTCTTTAGTTAAGAACACTTACAGATTAACCCTTTCCATGCTTGTGGGTATGGGGTGCTATCTTTCAACAGTATTTTGGGGAGGAGTTGGAGTGTGGCAGCAGAAGGTGGAAACCTGCAACTTAATACAAAGACAAAGATAATAGTTCTCTTTTGTTGGCGCCTGTAGCAGGCTGAGCCTTCTGCATACCTGACTAAAATAATCCTTACACGTCTGTGAGGTGAGTATTTTTAGCTTTACAGATGAAGAAACGGGCTAATAATGGAGAATGATTGTGGTTTCTATAGAGATGATGTGACATTATAAAGCTATAGTTTCATCAGAGGGGAGCATGCATTGTGGCACACAACAGAAAACAGGCAGACAGGAGCAGTGTGTCTCTGTTGTAGCTGCCAAAGACCAGAGTTCTGGGGAAGCATTCCAATTTTGGAGACTTAATAACAGAAGAGAGTATAAAAAATGGTTATCTAGGCAAGAGAAAACTGGCCCAGGAGATGTACTGGAGAAAGGTAAAGTAAGAGGCTGGTTAGGAGTGTGCTGAAGGTTAGTTATAAGGGAAAAGGGGAAGACTGCACTCTGGGGAGATGTTTGGAAGGGAAGGGAAGGGAACTCACTTGAGGTTCGAGAAGTAATTCTAAAGGGGAGAGGAAGAAGTACTACTTAGGTTCTATGTAGAACAAAGGCAGACGAAACTTGGACTTCAGAGAGGGAACTGCATGTATCTAGCACACATTTCATGTCACTTTCAAGAGTATTATTTCACTTAATCTTCTCAGAGAATCTCAGAGGATTCTATTGTAGAAATTGAGGAAAGAGAGGCTCACAGAAATAAAGTAACCTGCTGGTTGTTTCACAGCCAGTAAGTGGCAGCTCTTCTGATAGCAAGTCCAAGGTTCTTTCCATGCTACCTCCCCCTTCAGATCAGATGCCAGAAAGAATCTTAGGCTGAAAATATACTGAGCTATACCAGTAACTGGGAGGGATTGTGTTTGTTTTATGGGAACAGGTTCTGTCAGCTTCATAGTTGTTACGAGTAGAGTATGAGACCAGAAGAGCAGCTTTGCAAGGGAAGCAGAATTCTTTCACAGTTTTGCCAAGGAAGGAGAAATCTGAAGGAACAGGCATTATTATGTGAGACAAACTGAGGAATCTTTCTAGTTAGAGAAGTTTACAAAGGAGAGAGAGAGAGGGAGGGAGGGAGGGGGAGGGAGGACACAGACAGATGCGGCCAGACAGTAGATCCTCAAAAGGACTCCTAGGTAACACTACCACCTTTGGTTATCCAACAGCCTGCTGGTAACTTCGCAGTGACTTTTAAAAGGCCTAGGGAAGTAGGAGCAGGGTGGTATCTAAGTCATAACCCCATTAAATGCAGATCAAGGCAATCGCACAGTTCCTGCCTTCTCTAGTTCCATCAGTACAGCCCTATGAGCTCTTCTTAGCCACTACCCGCCTTTTTCCTAGAAGCCCATTATTCACTCTTTCAGTAGCAGTATGCTAAACTGCTGTGTCTTGTTTGTGCACGTTTAAGAGAATAGATGAGGTGAATGTGTGTGTGGGAGGTGGGGGACATATTGTTCTCTTTCTGAGTTTGTGTGGAGTTTCCAGGGTTAGGCTCCCTTGGCACATCAGCCAAACTGATGTGACTTGCTTTCCTTTTGCTCTCATTCCCAACTTTCTAGAGGGTGAAGTACATGATTTCAGATACGAAGGGGGAACAGAATATGACTTTGAAGGTATGGGAAATCCCTCCAAACTAGACATGCATAATCGAGCTCACTCTACCCACTTCCAAGGTGCACAGTAATCATCCCTGGTATTATAAACAGGTAATTCCACCCTTGTGAAGGAGGAGGGTATTTAAACAATGAAAGCCAGACGTCAGAGGCCTTTGAGGTTTATAGTGAAGCAGGCAAATATGCCATGATGACTTGAAGGCTCAAGTGGATCTAGTTTTTAGTATTGCCTACCCCTCCCTATCATGTGCTTCACACATAATGAGACTGCTTTTGTGCGATCTTTCTAGGCAAAGCTCCACTCGTGATGGGGAAATGTTTATCATATTACATTGCAGTATTTCTTCAACAAGAGGAATGGTTCTTGAACAGGATATAGCTCATGTTAATGATGAACAAAGCTCTCTGGGGCATGAACCCGCTGATACTATCATCTCGTTCATGGCCAGACTGTTGGATGAATGGTCACTGTAAGCAGCAGGTGCTAATGAGCTGAGCAAGCATTCTATGATCCACAGCTAGTTTGTGCAGTTGGAGCCCTCCCTGGATTCTTGTGGACAGTCCCGAGACACCTCTTTTGCTCTCTCCACATAGAAAAGCCTTCTGACCAAATTTTGACATTATCTCTTCAAAGGTATCCCCCTATTGTAGCAGGTTGTATTGTAGTTGGGAATGTGTGGTGAGCTAGTAAATATGAATGTGGTTCTGTTGTCCCCCTTGTGAGAGTCAGTCTGATAACTCCCAGCCTTTTTCTCTGAGTTGGTGTTAAGAAAGGAGTTGTGTTACAGTCATTTCAGCCCTCCTCCTCTCCTAATACCCCTTCTACTAACATCAGAAAGGGTCAGACTTGAAGATTTTGCTATCCTACTTTGGAAGGGCTGTGAAGCCAGTTTAAACCAGAATTTTCTACACGTAAGTTAAGCCTCTGAGAATCAACTTGGATCCAATGACTAATTTATTCATCTTAAAGAAAGCTGCAGTTCCTTTTCTAGATGTTAGGAATGTGGAGATGAAAGAGAGGATAGGAGCTTACAGAGGATCAAAATCAGATGGAGAAAACTAAACTCTAATGCAAGTATGTTACTTGTTCCTAACTGAGAAGTTCACATGTGCCCTGAGAATTTGTTGGAGAGTCCATTCAGAACTTTGTGTTGGACAGGCTTTGCTAAAGAAGCATGGGCTAGAGGTTAAAGTAGTTTAGGAAAAAGCATGCTAAGAGTCTTCTGTTTCTTTTTGGAGTCTCCTAATGTTGATGTGCTGCTATGGAGCACATCTGGCATAGGACTGGCTTTCTGTGTAAATTTCCTAAGTAAAGCCTTCTTCTCTGTTGCCTTTTGGACATTTTATTGCTCCTTAGCACTTCCAGGAAGAGGAGAATTATAGAAAGTAGGGGGCAGGGGGACAGAGTAAAAGAGGCAGAAGAACTTCTGTCTCCAGTTTAAATGGAAAAGATGCAAAAGTGAAGTGAGAAGAGAAAGTTTAGAGTTCTAGAGCTTTTAGTTCCTCAAACTATTTTGTTTTTTTATTAGCCTAGATGGCTCTACTAATAGTAGTTACCATTAAGCACTTATGAGGTGCCCAGCCTTCTGCTGAATACTTTATATTCGTGATCTCATTTGATCTTCAGAATATCCTCATGTTATTGGAGATTGTATTTCTATTTTATAGGTGAAGAAACAGCTCTGGGAATTAAGTAATTGAAAGCCATACATCTGTGTGGGAGGGCTGATATTGGAATGGGATATGTCTGCCTGTAGAGCCCATGTTGTCATATTATTGGGTTCCCTAACACTAAATGTTCTGATGTTTGTTTCAGGTGAAAAGATTGTTTTCTGAAGGCTACATTGGAGGCTGTGACAGATCGGAGAGCTCGAGTGGAACTGATGGGGAGGCTTTCTGAATAACATGGCCCTTCGCCATTAGCCTTGCCATGACCACATTTTTCACCAGCGTCCCTCCCTGGATTCAAGATGCAAAGCAGGAGGAGGAAGTGGGCTGGACACTAGTTCCCAGGCCTCGGGGCCGGGAGGCAGAGAGTCAAGTGAAGTGCCAATGTGAAATCTCTGGGACATCGTTCTCAAATGGGGAGAAGCTGAGGCCTCACAGCCTCCCCCATCCAGAGCAGAAACCATATAGCTGTCCTCAGCTGCACTGTGGCAAGGCTTTTGCTTCCAAGTATAAGCTGTATAGGTAGGTAACACCCTCATGCCTCTTTCCTGCCTCAAGGTTCCCACAGGTCAAAGCCAGAGAAGTGCCACTGAATTGGGGCTTTATCTATGGCAGGAGAGTGGTGGTTAATTGTCCTACAGGTATACCCTAACTCTAACCATCTGAAGTCACTAAAAAGTAATGGTGGTATTTTTTATGCATACACTAGAATCTGATGGCTACAATATCAGGCAGCCATCAGCAATGAGACTGAACATTTTTTCAATACTACTTTCTGTTTCTAGTTCTGTCAGATAAATAATCAGAATGGTAGCCAGAAGTTAGAAGTCAGTCTTAGAACTTTAGAAGGAAAAGGAGACCCATTGGTCCAGGCTATATGTTTTTTTTTTTCCCCTGATACCAGGGATTGAACTCAGGTCCTTGTGCTTGCGAGGCAGGAGACAACGTTTTTTTTTTTTTTCCCCTGATACCAGGGATTGAACTCAGGTCCTTGTGCTTGCGAGGCAGGAGACAGAACCACTGAGCTAAATCCTCAGCCCCCCAGGCTAAACATTTTAAAGTGAGTGCCAGTTGTGGTAGTGCACACTTATAACCCCAGCACTTGAGAGGCTAAGGCAGATGGATTGCCATGAATTCGAGGCCAGCCTGGGTTACATAGTGAATTCAAGGGCAGCCTGAGCTGCGTAGTGAGACCCTGTCTGAAAAAAACACAAAAATGGAGTGAGTCTTAGAGTAGGGACATAATGGACCCAAGATCAAGTAGCTTCTTGGGCTTGCATTGCTGCTTTTATTGAATCAGTCTGCTGCTCAGGTGATCACTTTTATCTCTGTAGAGTCCCTGGTGCCTGCCTTCTGGACCAGCTGCTTTTCTGAAACTTTTTAAGTCCAAGAAGCCCCACTAAAGTGAAATAGAGTTTGAAGCTTTGATTAGGGCTTTGGTGAGGAGAGGTTCTGGTTAAAAGTATTCTCACTTTATCTTTTACTTTTCTCAGAACTGTAGACTTGTCCTTTACCAGTGAGATAGACCAGCCTGATGCAGTCATTCATCTAGTGCATTATTGATTACAGATTATTCTCTTACAGATTAGTTGCAGTGCTCATTATTCAGGACAGAATTATGAGCCAGATGGGTGGGTGTGCTGATCCTTCTTGAGCTTACCTTCCTACTAGTGGAGGTAGACAGCAAACAAGTAAATTCAACAAATGAACATAGAAAAGCTTCAGTCCTCATCTGGAGATCAGGGGTCAAGCAGGAACTAAAATAGTCAACAAAGTAGTATGGAAACCAGGGTTGCCCTCAGGGTGCTTCTGTATCTTAAGGGAACTTTAGTCTGGTTGGTTCTCATATTTTCTTAGGGACAATAGCTGCCAGTGGGTGGCTACTGGAATGGTCCTAGTCTAGGACCTGGGACCCCTGACATAATTCACTTGGGAATTTAGGTGAGTTCCTAAATCTGTTTGGGTCTTAGTTTCCTATAGTGTAAAGGAAGGAAACAGACTGGATCATTTAGCTCCTCCCTCTCATACATTATCTTGTCAGTTGTATGATAGGATGCTAATAACAGCCCACACTGGCATTAGCATGCCCATGTAGATTGAGGAGGATCTTCCAGGTAGAGCCCTTGGGTACTGTACTAGACTGTATTAGACAACTGTGGCATACTTGAGCAAACCCATGTCTCAAGAAGGTATGTGTTTAAATCCAGCCTCTGCCACTTATGACTTAGTGGGTGGAGCCACCTGTGTGTTAACCTCCTTATCTGGAGAGCAAAGTTAATCACACAGCTCACACAGGGCCTGGCAAATGATGGGCCTTTGAGGCCTTCTTGATTTGATTTTTAAATAGATATGAAACTGTAGATTGCAATTTCCAGATTTTGAGCTGTTTTCCAACTAGATGGAAGCAGGTAAAGTAAGGGATAGTGAGGTGCCATGCCACTAAAACATTTCTTATTATCTTACTGGTTTACATGGGATACAATTCAGGTGGTACAAATGGATATGCAGTGAAAAATTAATGTCCTCACAGTCAAAGACACTGTTCCTCTTCCTAGAGGCAGCCAGTGAGATTAATTTCTTGTGTATCCTTCTTGATATATTTAAACATGTATTACTTTCCTTTTGTTTTCAAAAGGGATTATAGTACATGTACTGTTTGAACTTCCTTTCTTGACTATACCATCCCTCCATCTGTCCATCCATCTTGGGAACTTGTTCCAGATCAGGATGTTTAGATATATTTAATTTTTCTTTTATAGTGTCCTTTAAGTTTTTAATATAGTTTTTTGAAGATGAAATACATTCACATAACTCAAAATTCAGGAAGTCTGTACAATGAAAATACTCCATCACACCCCTCTATAAGCTATCTAGTTCTTTGTCCATAGGGTATCAGTGATGTCAGTTTCTTACATCTCTTCCCAGATATGTTTTAAGCACATACAAGCAAACATGCATTTATTTCCCCTTTCACAAGCCAAATGCCATTCTCTATGCACTATTTTGCTTCTTTTTTTTTTTGTATCTAAGGAGCTTGTACCCTAAAGATACATTTAAAGCTGCTTTATTTTTTAAATATTTGAGCCACTTTACAGACTTAGCATATGTAACTAGTTCCAAATGGAATGAATTGGATGTTCAGATTGTGTCTGATTTTTTTATTACTATGACCAATGCTGCAAAGAATAAAACTACATACTGGATTTAGCAGATATCTCTAGAATAAGGATGGCACTCCATTACATGGCTCTACCATAGGTTTTGTATGTAGTTTTCTGTTTGTTAATAGCGTAGTTGTCCAGTCAGCTCTTGTGATCACCTGTTTCTGCTTTCCCCTTTGTCTTCCATCCCTGACACCAGGCACATGGCCACCCACTCGGCCCAGAAACCCCACCAGTGCATGTACTGTGATAAGATGTTTCACCGCAAGGACCATCTGCGCAACCACTTGCAGACCCATGACCCGAACAAAGAGGCCCTCCACTGCTCCGAGTGTGGTAAGAATTATAATACGAAGCTGGGCTACCGTCGCCACCTGGCTATGCATGCTGCCAGCAGCGGTGACCTCAGCTGCAAGGTGTGCCTGCAGACCTTTGAGAGTACCCAGGCCTTGCTAGAGCACCTGAAAGCCCACTCGCGCCGGGTAGCAGGTGGTGCCAAGGAAAAGAAGCACCCCTGTGACCACTGTGACCGGCGGTTCTATACTCGTAAAGATGTGCGGCGGCACCTGGTGGTGCACACAGGCCGCAAGGACTTTCTGTGCCAGTACTGTGCCCAGCGGTTTGGCCGCAAGGACCACCTGACGCGTCATGTTAAGAAGAGCCACTCTCAGGAGCTGCTCAAGATCAAGACAGAGCCAGTGGACATGTTAGGCCTACTCAGCTGTAGCTCCACAGTCAGCGTGAAGGAAGAGTTGAGCCCTGTGCTGTGCATGGCCTCTCGGGACGTGATGGGGGCCAAGGCTTTTCCTGGCATGTTGCCCATGGGCATGTATGGTGCCCACATCCCTACCATGCCCAGCACGGGCATGCCACACTCCCTAGTACACAACACGCTGCCCATGGGTATGAGCTACCCTCTGGAATCCTCACCTATCTCTTCTCCACCTCAGCTCCCTCCAAAATACCAGCTTGGATCTACCTCATACTTGCCCGACAAATTGCCCAAAGTGGAGGTGGATAGTTTTCTGGCAGAGCTTCCTGGGAGCCTGTCTCTCTCATCCGCTGAACCCCAGCCCGCCTCACCTCAGCCGGCGGCAGCTGCGGCCCTTCTAGATGAAGCACTGCTCACCAAGAGCCCCGCCAACCTCTCTGAGGCCCTCTGCGCTGCTAATGTGGACTTTTCTCACTTACTAGGCTTTCTTCCACTCAATCTGCCTCCATGTAACCCACCTGGGGCCACAGGAGGCCTGGTCATGGGCTACTCGCAGGCTGAAGCACAGCCCCTGCTCACCACTTTGCAAGCTCAGCCTCAAGATTCCCCAGGAGCTGGGGGACCACTGAACTTCGGGCCTCTGCACTCCTTGCCTCCTGTCTTCACTTCTGGCCTGAGTACTACCACCCTGCCTCGTTTCCACCAAGCATTCCAGTAGCCCCCACAGAGGTCCTTAACTCAGTCTTTGGTCTATCACAGAGCCTGAGTACCCTCCCTGTCCACCTCCCTGACAAAGGCAGCTGAGCTTTCAGAGCTGGGTTCAAAAAGCAAAAATTCCAGTGTCTGTATGGAGCACTTGGTTTGAGGGTTTGGGCTCCAGGATTGATTCCAGGGGGAGCCTTGAGCCTCAGCGCTGTGGAAGATCTATCATAGGACTTTCAGGTATTTTTACTTCTTTTTTTTTTTTTTAAATCTGAATTGGGAGCCACACTTAGCCTTCTCCTTCTCCAAAGTATCAGAACCTCCTCTTTGAAGGAGGGGGAGGCCTCTTGGAGACGCAGAGGGTTCACCTTGGATGACCTCAAGAGAAATCGCAGAAGAAGCCTGTTGTCTGTCCTAGCCTTCAGGAACCCACAGCATAGTTGGTCAGGCCCTGCTGTGGAAGGTCACTTGGCTCCATCACCTGCTTCCGAGCAGCAAAAAGGAGAGAAGGCTTCTATTCTTCCCGACCATCCCCATCCCCGCTCTACCAACAGCTCTGTTTTCAGTCAGTGTTGTCCAGCAACGGTACCGTTTACACATTCGTCTCAGACACACCATTTCACCTCCCTTGCCATGTTGTTAGCCTTAGAGTGATTGCATTGAACACTGTTTACACACCGTGAATCCATTCCCACCAGTCCATTTCAGTTGGCACCAGCCAGAACCACTTGGTACCTGGTGTTAACTGGAGCCCTGTTTACAAGGCGGAGTCGGGTCTTGCTGACTTCTCTTCACTTGAGGTCACATTTTTCCCCCGTGGGGAAATAAACTGACTTTTGGACTGCTTCAGTTTCTGCCATCTTCATGACTGCATCTGTTCCTGCCTTTGTTGGCAGTGTCCACAGGAGACAGGCAAGAAGATTGGAGCAGCTTTCTCACAGGTCTGTTTTCTCCAAGTCCATCATGACCCCCTCATCACTCTTGAACTGGAGAGGGGAAGAAATGAAAGGCATGCCCATATTGCTCACCTCCCATTCCTTAACTCCCACTCAGAATATTATGAGCTGTTGTTATTTGTCTTGGAAGGAGGGACTCTGGGTTTTAGGCTGGTGGGAACAGCAGAGAGGGAAGGAGCCCCTCATTTGTCTCCGTCCTGCCTGCCCCTTTTTCATGAAGTTGTGGAATTATTAGCAGGTGTTTTCAGAAATCTAGGACTGGGCAGATAGTTGAGTCCTAATCAATCTAATCATTGTTGTCTCCATACCAAAAATTTTCTTATCCACAGTGTCCCTTCATCTCCTTCACTTTGCAGTCCTTGTGGACATGGCCACTGTGCATAGGCTTCTAAGAACTTCTACCTTCTCATGATTCCCCTCAGTTTTGACTCTACTATCTAACAGCATTTTTTGCAAGAAGTGATTAGTTCTCTTGACTTATAGGGCTCCATGGCACAGTGTAGCCCTTACCCAGAACCCAGCCAGACCCCAAAGCCTGCTTCATCTCAGTTCCGAATGGGCTCTTCCCACGCATGGAAGGAGGCAGCTCAGGGACCACTACTGTGGGACCCTCCTGAGATACCTCCTCTGTGATTCAGAAACACACTTCTACCTCTTTACTGTTAACTTGTACAGATGCATCCAGCAGTTTCTGGGCACTTCTGTCAGTGGTGCCTCATGCTGGCCTCTCCACTAGGGTTTTAGGACAAACTACCTAGGAACTGCCTCACCCACCCTCTTACCAGGCCTCCCATCTCCCGCTGTCTGTAGACTCATTTCCATGTATCGTCAGGAATTGAGCAGGTCAAGACCTAGGCTTCTGCTTTAGTGCAAGCATCCTTATTTGAGGTGAAAGCCTTAAGAATTAGCTCCCTGGCCCTTGATTGGAGGCAATGCAGAGTAAATACTTAACTGTTTTGATTTAGGCAAGGTAGCTTGGGATATTTTTTCAAAAGCAAAACCAGATATAAAAATGTCTGGCAAGGTTAACATCAGTCTAGATGATTTGCTTCTAAATATTAGTTTCATTGAGTCCCAGGGACTAATTAAGTTTGTTTTTAAAAAAGTGTAAAACTGTCTACCTTGGTACACAGCCACCTCCTGCATGCTGTGCATGTTTTTGGGACGCGTATTATAGGAAATGGTAAGTGAGAATCTAAGCAGGACTTGCTGCTGCCATTCTCATATCTGGTCTTCAGTAGACCCAGCAACCCTCTCCCCTTGCCTGCTGTCTTCCCTGCACCCTGTTTCTAGCGGCAGATGGGCTCTTGGCCACAGAATATAAAGTCCTGGGCTGTTAGAGGAGTCTTCTCTGCCTGCCTTTTTCCTGTCCCTTTCTTGAACTCTTGCCCCTGCGGGGATGCTTTGCAATTCATAGGACAGGCAGAACAGCTATTTAAAATCTTGTAACTGGGGCCTTGTCCCTGTCTCTTGTCTTCCCCTGCCATCCTTCATTCCCATCTCCCTCTTCCTTCCTGCCTCTCTTTTCCTCTTCTCAGTGCTCTCACCATCATGAGGAATTTTCCTGTCACTGTGAACTTTGCTGGTGCAGAGGAACATGATCTGCCTTCACCTTTTATGGACCATAGCCACCCTGCTGTTTTCTTAAGCCTCTCTCTGTTCCAACCCCCCAAAAGCCTCCCCACCTTTTCTGGGGGAGGCCAGGCTATTAAAAGGACAAGAATAGCTTTATCCTATACTCCAGTACCCAGATATGCTTCAATATCCCTACTGAAGCCACAGAGCCTGAGGGACACCTGACAGGACAGGAGCCATGATATGTGGAACAGACCAAGGACCAGGAAAGGGGTGATGTTTCTTTTCTGTACCCCTGGCCTAGCTTCTGTCGGCAGTGAGCTGACCTGTACAGAGGCAGGCACCTCCCACCCTGCACAGTAGCTGTTCAGGGCCAAGTACAGTCCTGGGCCCAGGGGCTGGCGTCCCTAGGTGTTAGCTCAAAGGATTTCTGCCCTATCTCAAAGAGGTGGAGGCAGGGAAGGTGCACCGATGAGGCCCCCACCTACTTCTTACAAATGGCATTTGTTGATGGAAATCTGAGAAGCAGGTATGATTATTTTTTTGCTCATAGATATTGTCCTAAGTTGAAATTTTCCCATCCCTAGTATCCCTTAAATCTCCCCCCACCTCTTATTGGTAGCTGTTTTTTCCACCCTTCCTCAATCTCCCCTCATCTAGGAGCTGTTTTTAAGCACGATTTTTTAAAACAGGTAATATTGTACAGGATCAATATTTTGCTTTTTAACAAGGATATTTATGTAATAAGAATCTTTGCCTTAGGCAGGTGTTGGCCAGAAAAGTCCAGATTCCTCTGGGACCCCCATCCTGGCCTCTCCTGGAACTCTGAACCTGCTGTGGAAGGAATTGGCCATGATCTTCACTACTGGAGAGCAGGGCCTGTGGTGAAGGAAAGGGGTGTTCACTGTGATAACCTAGTGCCTCCGAGGGGTGTGGAAGCGTCTCAGTCCAGTTGCTTCTGGTTCCAGCTGACTCCCCATCCCCTCCCCTTTCCACCTCTGCGTATCCAGCACTAGAATGAATACCTGAACACCACTTCTCACGCTCTTTCCTCCCTCCGAGTGGCTGAGGCTGAGGCCACTTTTGAAATGCCAGATTATTTAAAGAGAGAAAAATACAAAACAAAAATCTTCTAGCACTTTGTAAACACAGTGAATAACCTCTTGGAGTATTTTTGGCTTTATATAAAACAAGGTTTTTAATTGTAAAATAAGTGCCATTAGAAAATGCACAGGGCGTTATCTTTGTTAAGGTAGATTTTTTCAATGTTTTACAGAATTACATTTTCAAAAAAAGTTTTATAATGAAGTTGTTTATTAAAAACTTCTGAATGATGTGTTTGGCAGTTGTGAACCTGTCTGGGAAAGGGTTGGAGCAAGCCTGGAATTGGGAAGAACTGAAATCAATAAATAGCATCCAAGGGTAATGACTGTGAGTAGTGCAAACAGAAATAACTGCTCATGTTAGCATACACTTTGTTCTTGGCAATGAGAGATCTTAATTGGATGTCTTTGGTAAGTATTATGTGTCATTCTGTCAGTTATTCTCAAGTGCAGGAGTCAGAAAACCAGAATCAGATTGGCTTTAAACGGTGAAGTTTCATGTAATTGAAAATGCCAGATAGAGTGTGATCTTCAGGTTGGGTTTGATCCAGAAGGCTCAAATATAGTTGGGCTCAGCATTCCTTTTTCTTTCTGCCCTGTCTTGGGTAGTTGTGACTTCCATCCTTATGCCCTACCTAGGTTCTTCCTTTGAGGAAGAGTAGAATGCTGCCATAATTCTAGACTTGTCATTTACACAGTGCTGACAAATAGAACCTTTTTTTAGGAGAGGAGTGCTTTTATTCACAAAAGTCCCAGGAAGCATCCTCTTTAATAATAAGTTAGCATTTATGGTGTTCTGCACCCTCCTAAACCAGTTGTCAGTGACAAGGGGAAGAGCGGTTTCTCAGTGTGAACTTGGGGTACTGTTAGGGTGAGAAATGAATGCTAATTCTTCAAAAAAAGATAAATGTCTACAATAGTCACCCACTACCCAGGATGTGCAGCTGGTAACAAAGTGAGGGTCTGGCCTTACCCATATCTGCCCAGCCACTGGGTTTAGGCAGACAAGAGGATGACATGGCTTTGTCCGACTTCATTCCTTGCCAGTCTCTTGACGGATAGTTGTCCCCATTCTGGGCCTCACTTATGCTGAGATGCTTCCATAATGGGCTAATGTTTCTGTAGTCTGGATCCAGGGTCCATGCCAAGTAGTATAAGTCGCTTGCAGTTAGCCCAAGAACTCATGAGGACATATATAAATATCAATATGCCAATGTTTGTACAAGGGCAATGGGCTGAACCTTCATCTCTGGCTTTCTTCTTGGCAAATGTTCACTGTCCATCCTTGTGGGTGAGAACCCCAGCTAGAACCTAAAGGAAATTCACCTTGCTCTCTGGATGCTACAAACCCCAGGACAAGCCTTAGGGACCCAGACAAAGAACTATTGTGTTCTTTGGGCAGAAGAGGCTGAAGGCTTTGTGGAGATGACTGGCTTCCAGAGGTGAGGGTATGAGGTATACTGTTCTCCACAGACCACACGTTTGGGGTTGAGACCACATCTGCAGGATCATGGATTGCAGGGGCTGGCCCATCCAGGCTTTTTGTCGACATGAGTATGGACTCTGCACTTCAGCCAACCTCTGTGGCTTTACTGAGCAAAGGTCCACCCAGTGTCAGCCATCCAGCACCCCTGGAAACCAAGCAGATGCCTTTTCCTTGGTTTGCAGTGAGTGGTTCAAGACCTTTTCTTGCCTCTGAAGTATCTGCTCTGACTTTGTTTTGTCCTTTCTCCACATAAATATTTCAAGCACCTTCACGTGCCCAACAGTTACCATGACCTGAGGCTCTCAGTTTGTGGACGTTCCTTGCAAGGACACCTCTTGGGCTTTCTGCCTGTGCCTGAATACTTTAGCGCACGCAAAGCTGCAAGTGTCCTACTTGAATGAGAGCCTGGCAAGAGATAGTGCCTGGCGTGGTGGCTGTAATGAGAGGATCATGACTATGACTAGGGGTCGGGCTTGTACCCCGTGCCTGCTCCGATCTGCCTGTTGCTTGGTCCACCACCCCTGGAGTTCTTGCCACCTCCTCCATCTGCACCAGCTCTATTTTGCACTGCAGTCAAGAATCCACCCGGCAGCCCCCTCGCTTTCTGCCAGAACTCGCCTAGATCCTTAGTCTAGGCTCTCACCCCACCCCACCCCCAGCGAAGGGATCCTAGCGAGTCACCTACGGAAGGAAGGGGTGCGAGGGGCGGAGCGCGTGCCCCAAAGGAAGAGACCGCTCCCCTCTGCAGAGCCGCCCCTGTGCCAGGAGTCTGCAGCCTAGCGGTTAACCTTGAGCCCTTGCAGTGAGCGGCTCTCGCGGGCGGTAGCTTAGGAGGGGGCAGGGGACCTGGAAACCGCTGCGCCGGCTGACCTGCCCCGCGCAAGACCGGAGTGCGCGCCTGGCCCCCGACGCGGCAGAACGCGGCCATCTCGACCTGCAAGGGCCCCCGAGACCTCCCCACCAGTCCCAGGACGTCAGGAAGTGGCCTCCACGGCCACTGCCCGGAGCGTGGAAATTGGACCGGGCGGGAACGAGGCCCCAGAAACCTGAAGCGCAGGGCAGTGTGGGGCTCTGGCGGGAGCCGGTGGGAAGGTTAAGGAAGTGACGATTGAGGAGGCGCCATCTTCATGGAGGAGGCAGCGCCGGCCGTGGTGAAGCAACAGGCGGTGGAGAAGCAGCTGGAGGGGGAGAAGTTGGAGGTGTGTGTAGAGGGCCAGGAGGACCGGGTGCCTCTGCACCTTGAGGGCCTAATTGTGGGCCCACTGGAGGGCATTCATTGGCAGCTGGAAGCCATGAGTGACCAGACTGACAGGTCTAGTGTAGGTTTGGGAGGGTGCGCTGGCTGCACTTAGATCGTAGGAACTTCACCATCCAAAATACTCCGGGCTTTTGGGTCACTGCCTTCCTGAACCACCCGCAGCTCGGCAACCATGATCAGCCCCCAGATGAAGATGGGCTCTGCTACCTGATGAACTTGGTGAGGGAGCTCTGGCACACCAGGACAGGTTGCAAGTACAAGTTCCGCTTTTGGAGCAACCCCTACTTCCGAAACAAGGCGATGGTGAAGGAGGATGAATGTAGATCCTCAGGCCCTGGTGGTGTCAGTTGCAACTATCAGATGGCACAGGGCTAGGAACCCCTGCCGTGATACAGCAGAACCTCAACACAGTCTGAAGCTTCTTATACTAGTTTTTATAGCACAGCTTCCCAGAGACTGCAGGGTTGCCCAGATCATTAAAGATGACCTGTGGCCAAACCTCCTTCAGTACTACTTACTGGGGTGTAGGGCCTCGAACCAGGTGAGGCTTAGGAAGGGGTCCCACAAAGGCCTCTCCTAGGCCCTACAGGTTCCATTCTGGCTAAGGTCCTGCCCTGGGATATGGCACCTACATAAGACTCCTTTCTGCTTCCTGTGGACCCGAGCTTAGTCCAGCAATGGGCACTCTGCTATTTGCCTTCTCTTTTGTGCCCTTTGGCTCCTTGCGATGTTCAGTGCACTCAGATAAGATTGTGGCTTACGTGACCAATGTGTTGTTTCCATGTGAACTTAATGCTATCCCATGTCAGCATCACATGTCTGTCACACACTATTGTATTTAGAACAGGCACCCAATTTTGTGCACTTGTACTGTCATTATCGTCACGGCCCGGACCTATCTGTGACTTAGCCTTCCCGCCCATGCATCTGGGCAGGTGCTCAAGGCAGGGCAAAGATGGGATCCCTTCCAGCAGTTCACTTTCCTGAGCTCTGTTGCTAGACACACAGGATCCAGTCCCTTTGCCGTTTCCTCCTGTCTGTTTTTGGGCTTCAGGTTGTAGGTGATGGAGGGGGCTTCTGGCCATGTGGGCTGTCTATACTGGCCCAGATATTATACTGTTTGTCATTAAAGTGTCAGTTCAGAAACAAAATAACTGCAAAAATAAGGGTTTTGCAGATATCGAAGGAGTTAGACTTTCCTGAATTCACCTCTATCTCCAGAGGGTGAGAGCTTGTCTATAGGCTGTCAGCAGTCTTTGCCCCCTTTGCTCCTTTGCCCTGCCCCCTTTAGCAAGGCCTAGAATCTTCAAAGTGGGGGACAGTGCAAGGCTACTGAAGAGACACCAGGAAATCCCCAAGGGTTGGATAGTTAATCATTTCATTTTATGCTGTGTTCTTTTGGAGGAACTTTAGCCCTAACTGTTCTCCCTCCTCCAGGTCTACACTACTTGCCCCCGTGGATTGTGCGTTCTTGTAGATACAAGAGCTTAACTGCCCCTCTCTCTCTTAAGTCCCTCCCAAGTCCTGCTTTGGGCCCATAGGGCTGTCTATGTCCATTTCACTTCAGGAGAAGCCCCGTGGATTGTGCGTTCTTGTAGATACAAGAGCTTAACTGCCCCTCTCTCTCTAAGTCCCTCCCAAGTCCTGCTTTGGGCCCATAGGGCTGTCTATGTCCATTTCACTTCAGGAGAGGGATGGTGGTGACCCTACCCAAGCCCCTTCCCATGTAAGGCCTTGTCTTCTGCTCCCTGGGTCCTGGGACATAAAAGAGTGGGGAGGGTATGCAGGAGCTGGTGCTAACTGGGAAGGCAGGAGTGGCTAAGGGTCTGTGGGATGGAGGAAAGAGAACCCCCTGATTTTTGCTCACTTTTGAAACCAATGTTTTATAAATTAGGATAAAATAACACTGTGACTTTAGGGTTTTCTTATATTCAGGTATGTCCTTGTGTGGATGGAAACTTAATGCTTTATGCTTTTTATTTTGCTACTTTCAAGTAAGACCCTATGTATCCCCTTCTCTGAGCCCACTGAGAAGTTGAGCTATACAGATATAGACCTGCTTATTGCTAAGCATGTTATAAACCTGCCAGTGTAATTATTCTGTGCCACATGGAAACATATGAGACCACTCACGAGTGTTATCGTTATCACAGCCTGATACTATAACCTCCCTTAGAAATAATGAATAAGGTGGTTTTGTAGGACTTAGCACTAGAAGTTGCCACCATGTTCCCTGAGAATAACCTCCAGAAAGAAATCTGCAGTTGACGCAGTGGCCACGTTGTAATTGACATCAGTGTAATGACACTGTTCTTCTAAACGGAAATATTCACAGGGTGGCTTTGTCCAATCAGAAGAGGATTTGTAGCACTTTTGTCTTCTATATGAAAGATGGAAAAATAAAAACCTTTTGGTCTAGGGAAAAAAGTAACTTAAATCATATTGCTCTCCATCCATACCTTATATTGGTAAACAAGCGAGAAATAAATGGTCATCTGAATTCTTTACTACAGTTAACAAAGCCCTGCCTTCTCGAGTCCTTGTCCACATACCCTCTCCTGTGTTTGCTCTCTCTGCTCCCCACACACTGGCCTCTCTGTTGCTCCCTGAGTGGATGAAGCATATCCCTTCCTGCCACCCACAGGACAAAGCCTTGTAGTTTGTGCATTCTCTCCCCTCTCTGGAATTTTCCTCTTGCAGATGCTCATATCTTTAGCTTCCTCAAATCGTTCTGGCCTCAAATGCCATTTCTTCAGAGGTTTCCCTGTCTGGCTCTCATGATTTTCACTTTATCATATTTAACTCTGAAATGAACTTTTCTTTTCTCCCTTGCACATGAGTCAGGAGAACAGGGGTATCTACTGCTTTGCCCTGCACGGCTTGGTGTCCAACATCTCGGAATCACCTACATGAGTGAATGATTAATCCAAATGTGTTGGAATGCTGGGTGAGGCTCTGACAAGATGAAAAACCAAGATGGTTTCTGCCCAAAGGATTTCAGTTAGGGTAAGGGTGGGGGTGAGGAGGGGTTACTGGATAATTTGTCATCTAGCTGCAACACATCTGGAAGTGAAATGGGTTGCTTCTAGTAATTGCACCAGAACAAGAGGCCAGACTGGCAATGTTAACAGTCAGAACCCGACTAAGTCCAGCTTGGCTGTCATTCACCTCAAGTGTGTGTGATGTGAGATCAGAGGGTTGACACTTCTCTGATCTTGGGACAGTAGAGCTGGCCTTTGAGAAGTGGATACAAGCTTAGAAAGTTAGGGTTGAAGGGAATTCCCGGCAGAGGGAACAGCACGAACAAAGGTATTGGAGAGTGGAGATGTACTACGTGTTCAGGGCTCAGCGTGACATGTGGCTGCTTGGGAGAGGCGAGCCTGGATGGGTACGTCGATGCCACCTAAAAACAAGAACTCGGAATGCCAGGTCAAAGCTCTATCCTGTGGACAGCAGGGAGAAGTAGGTATCAGGTGTGATTCAAAGGTGAGACTGTTTTCCAATGGTAAATGCCATGTTGTATACCTAAAATGTAACAATAAAATCAATTTTTTTAAAAAAGGTAAGACTGTCTCACAGTGCAGCTACAGGAGTCTGCAGCTCCAGATCTCATGTCTTCACTTTGAACCGTGTCCACCCCAATATGCTGCTGTTCTTCCAGTAAACCCTCCCAGTTACTCCAGCCCAAAATAATTTCTGCCACTTCCCAAGTACACCTTAAAATCAGAATTTTGGAACTGGAGCCTGGCGGGGCTACAACCTTTGGATTTCTCTTTTGTGCAAGCACCTGCCTCTGACACTCCCAGGGAAATCAGCCTACACTTGCAGGCATCCTGGTGATCCTGAAAATTCGTGTCCCGTGTGGTTTTCTGGTTTGTACCTGGTGAACGGCAGATGCACTTGGGCTCTCCTACCCCGCATCTGGGCCCAGCTGTATCCTCTATGCCCTCAGCTTGTAGACAGACAGTGGTCTTTAATAAAACAAGGGCTTTGTGCCATATGGTCAGGGGCATCTTCCCCTTATCTGTAGCAACTGCATAACCCTCCACCTTTCTGGGATATGAGTCTCATTTTCAGAATCCAGTTTTGTTTACTGACTCATTCATGCCCTGAGTTACTAGTGTTTATCCACTCCTCTCTACTGGGCACTAGGGCATGAGATGGCTCAGCTTGAGGCTGAAAAACAGTGATAATGATCACCATTGTTTAATGTGCACCTATTATGTACTGAGGGCTTGCATGCATACAGTGGCTACAGCAACTCTCCAAACCTGAGTCAGGCCATGTCTTACTCCAGTCTCACACAAGAAAAGCCAACAAGCTCTGCACATTCTGTAAAGGTCTCATGATCCAATCTCTGGTCACCTCTCTTGGATGCTCTCTAGTTACCCCGGCCTCTTGCTTCCTTTACCCTCTTTGCCTAGAACCTTCACCAGATTATCTGTATGACTGGCTCCTTGCTTCCTAAGGCTTCTTGGCTCAAATGTACCTTGTAATATTTGAAAAAGAATTTTTACCTCTTCAAGGAAGCCTTTGCTAACTTCTTTCTAGAAATCATCCTGTAACTCTCCCTGTTCTGATTTGGATTTTAAGCACTTCACTATTATGCTAATTTTTTTTTTTTTTTTTTTTTTTTTTTTTTTGGTACCGGGGATTGAACTTGGGACCTTTTGCTTTCGAGGCAGGCAGCAGAACCACTGAGCCAAATCCCCCAGCCCTATGCTGAATATTCATTTATGTCTTTTTCTCTTTACTGGTTGCTGTTTCACTCACGGCTCAATCCCCTTATCTAGAATCAGGCTCGGCACAGTTGGGAACTCAGTAACTGTAGAATCAATGAATGCTCCATATCATTTTTTTTTTTTTTTTTTTT